CCCCCTCCCTGCATGCACACGCAGGCCAAGAGATCAGTACTGACTAACGCGTAGCACGGCCTGATCTCTTGGCCTGCTCCCTGCGGCGCAGCCCCACGCGCGCTGCGGGCCCGTCGCCCGTCGTCTTGGCCACCTTTGGCGGACAAAGCAATCAACACAACACATGTGGATGTGTGTGTGCGTGTGTGTATATTTCTCACCTGTTTGGGTTTGGTGGCTCTGCCCTTGGCCTTGCCCTTGCCCTTGCCGCTGCCCTTGCTTTTGTTGCCCTGCTTGGCCTTGGGCTTGGCTTTGGGTTTGCCGCCCTGCTTGGCTTTGGCTGCTGCCGGTGGCTTCTTGGATTGGCGCTTGTTGCCGTCGTCGAACCCAGAGTCAGTACTCCTGTCACCACCTGTCGGGTGGTCATAGACACAGACACAGACAGTAAGGTGACCTGTCTGTCCATTGCCTGGGGATGTATGTGTGTGTGTGTGTGTGAATGGGTACCCACCTGCTGCCTTCTTCCTCTCCTCACGCGACGCCCAACCCTCACCCTCACCACTACCCGCCCCGCTGGAAGCAGCCGCCTTGGCAGCCCGCTTTGGCTGCACGCGTCGCGACGCCACGCCCGCCCCCTCAGACGCACCACCCCCAGCTGCATCCTCGCTGCCCACACCTCGGCGCTTCTTGCCCGCGGCCGGTGTGCGCCGCTCGTCGTGCGCCAGTTGTCGACGCAGCTGGCGCGCAGGGGAGTCGCCACGGCTCGCAGCGGCCGTCTCGCCCGCAGCCTTCCTCGGCGCCATCACCACATCGCCGTCGACATCGACGTCGACAGCTCCCCGCTCCTCTCCCTCACCACCACCACCAGCGGCATCCTTGCGGCGCCTCTTGCTGCTGACGGAGCTCTTGATGGGAGGGGGCGAGGGTGAGCGCTGGCTGACCTGCCGCTTGCAGGGGGACCTGCGGGGGCCACCTCCCTGCCCGAGTGTGCCGCTGGTGCCCTCCGAGTCCTCCAGCTGGGAGGGGGAGGGCGTGTTGTGCCCGGGGGGCGGGGGCGGACGAGGGGGGAGCACCATCGACGGCACACTGTCGCGCGGGTAGTAGGCCATGTAGGCCTGCAGACAGCCAGCCATGGGATTGAAACACACAGACAGACAAGGTGGGAGGATGTTGTGTCTGCGAGTGTGTCTTTAGGTGGGGTGGGTGGGGGTGGGGTGTGAGTGGGTGCCTTGCCTTGCCCACCTGCTGGGAGAGGACAAACTCGTCGGTGAATTCGGCCACGGGCTTGGCGTCGTCATACAAACACCATCGGGGCTGCTGTGGACCTGTGGGGGCTGTCCGACACGAGACACGTGACACGTGACACACACACATAACAGACAGACACATGGACGGATGGACGGACACGTATGCATGCATGTGATGTGTAGAGAGAGTGGGAGGTGGGGTGGATGATGCGATCGATGCACCCACCGCAGCCACCTATCAGTGAGGTGACGTACCGTCTGGCACGAGGGTGTACATGATGTAGTGACCCTCAACGGCACTCGAACCGGTGTGCACCACAAGGGCTAACAACCACAGACACAAACAGAGGGAGAGAGTCACACACACATGCGGTGCGCATGGCTGCCTCCCCCCAATCAGCTCACTCACCGGTCAGTTTGTGTATGCCCCGTTCGCCGGCCGATGACGATGCGGCCGCCGAGCCGTTGTTGGCGGCGTAGGCGTCGAGGTTCAACTCCAATGGCAGTTCCACGTGGGTCTCCACCTGCAGAGACACAGAAACACGCCAATGGACGGATGGAGGAATGGGATGGAGGGGTGTGGGTCGTCCCTCTCTGTCTCTCTCTCTCTCTCTGTGTGTGTGTGTGTGTGTGTGTGTTGCCCCCGTACCTTGACACTGTTGTTCAGGAAGTGTTTGAACTGCAGGATGGCCACTTCCGGTACCTCAGACAGACTGATTGCCTTGGAGGCGTCACGCTTCCGCCCACAGGGCTCGCACTCGTACCTGACACACACACACACACACAGAGACACAGAGAGATACACACACGTGCTGTGTGTGTTTCGAATGGGTGGGTTAGGTGCCTCCTTACTGGTTGTCGCCCTGCAGTGACTCCTCTGCGAAGTGCGCTCTCATGCAATCGTCAACCGATACGCTGGCAGACTGCCAGAGCACACACACACACAGAGAGCAGAGAGATGCAACAAAGACATCAACCACATCTCGCCTGCCTGCCTCCCTCTGTGTCTGTCTGATGGCTGCGTGACTGTATACCTCGTCCGTCATGTCGTTGCCCCTCTTGCCCCGCCCCTTCTTCTGAGCTATGGCGGCCCGGGGCTTCGTCGTCTGCTTGCCTTTCCCCCCTCCAGCAGCGGCAGCCTCGGCGTTGCCAGGGCCAGGGATGGGGAGGGCCATGATCCACTGCGGCTCGTCCCGTGTGCTGACGTTGCCGCAACTGCACGTCACCACCGTACGTTGCACACCTGACGCAACAATAGTGACACACACACCACACGTGTGCAGCGGGGGTGTGCTGTGGTGTGGGTGGGTGGATGGAGGGATGGGGTGGTGCGGACCCACCTCTGAAGAGTTTGGAGACGGGCGTCTCGGTGTGGTCGTCTCCCGCCTGTTCGAGGGTCATGTCGGTGGCCCCGTTGTCCGACAACTTGTCCGCCAGCATCTCGCGGTTGAGGGTGTCCAGAAAGAATGTCGTCGCCTCTGCAATGTCCTCCTGGTTGCCAACACCTGCACACACAGAAAGACAGAGACAATTGGACAGAGAGGGAGACGTCTGTTGGGGAGAGGGGGAGGAAGGGTGTGTTTGTGTCGTGTGGTGACTGACCGAAGTTGGGGCACGTCCGCATGAGTGTGTAGAAGAACGTGCTGGGTGTGATTTTGAGATTCTGGCAGTCGCCCTTGTCCAGCAGCACCCCGCTGCGCTCGGCCGCCCGCTGCTTCGAAGCTCTCTCCTTCTCGCCAACCGTCCACATGGCACTGATCCATCCATCCACCAGACAACACACAGAGAGCGACAGGTGAGCGAGGGGTCCGCTCAATAGGGTCCGCTTGTGGGTGTGTGTGGTGCTTCCTTCGCGCTTACCTCGTGACAAGCACCGTCTCCCATAGCAGTGAGGACGGCGGTGCCTTGTGGTCCGCTCGTGTGGCGCGCCCTCCCCTCCCCAGACGACCGAGGTTCTCGGTGGCCTTGTCTGCACACACACACGAATCAACCAGGCAGAGCAGTGAGCGGTGGTGGACTTCTCCTGCCTCCAGCTGTCTGTCTGTCTGTCTGTCTGCGTCAGTTGGTATCAGTCAAACGTACCGCACAGCGCTGGGGCGTAGGCCTCGAACCGCCGAACCAGTGACTTCTTCCTCAGGGTGTATGCCGAACCACCTGATCGAGAGACAGAGAAGGAGTCCAACCAACGATGCAGTCAGTGTGTGCGTCGTCTGTCGCCCTGTGCTGTGCTGCATTGTCGGGCGGCTCGGCTTCTTACTCTGCAACAGGTACGTCACCAGAGGGCGCACCCTGAGGACGCTGTGGAGGAGGGAGGAGAGCCAGCAGCTCTGGTCGATGCTGGCAAACACCACCTCCTGAGGCCACTGCACGCACACAGCCACAACAGCACATACCACATAGGAGTGCACAATGCCCCGAGAGACGAGGAATACCATCCAGGTCGCTCACCCTCTGCAGCCACTCCTCGTCGAAAGGTATCGGGGTGGCGAAATGGGAGGTGTTGGAGGCCACGGCGAGAGTGGATGCCCTGCCCTTGGCTGCTGCTGTCGGCGGAGCTGGACGCGGAGATGGTGGCAGCGAGCGGCCCTTTCGGCCTTTTCGGCCTTTTGTCGGCATGCTGGGCTGGGGCTGCTTCTTGGCTGCCCTCGAGAATCTTCATTCATTCATTCATTCATCAAGCGTCTCCTATGAACGCATGAAAATGCATCCATGGAAACGGTCTAGCAGCCGCCCTGCAAAAACGAGGCAGAGACCAGGGCGGCGAGTCCGGCTCACCAAGGTTTCCCTTGGCTACCCCTGGGTTTCGGAGAAAAATGCCAGTCCGTTTTCACCCCGATGGCGCGGGGCTGCCCTGCTTGTATATGTCCCCCGGGCGAGGGGACACCCTGCTTGTATACTTCCCCCGGGCGAGGGGAGGTGGTGTGCCAAGTATATGTGGTGGGGGGGCGTGTACGCGTCTGTCTCGCGCTTTGTGTTCGTGTTGTGTGTGTACAAGTAAGGGTCCATCTCTGTCTGCCTCCCCTCCTTCCTCCCCCCCTCTGCCCTGTGTGTGTGTGTGTGTGTGTGTGTGTGGTGATGTGTGTGGCCCTCGTCTCTTTTGTCTCTCTTCCCCTGACCCCTTCCTGTCTCCCTCCCCCCTCCCCCCTCCCCCTCCTGCAATAAGAAATGAGCTGCATGCACACCCCTCCGTCGCCTCGTGTCTCAGTTTAATTGCCGGGTTGCCCCGCGCTATGTGTGAGGATACCGGGTTGCCCCGCGCTATGTT